CAGCTTGGTTTCCTTTCTTACTGTGCTTTCTGCGAGTTCCTCTGAGTGTGTGTGAGTGCTGTCGGAGCTCTCAGTCTTTCTCTGCCGCCTGCCCGTGTGCGTGTTTCCGTGGGTGTTTTTCTTCCTCCTGGGTACTCGTTCCGTGTGTTTCCCAGTGAGTTTCCCTGTCTGTCTTTAAGCTCGTGTAGGTCGCCCTGCCTTCCTTACTTTCCTCCCACTCCTCTCTGTGGTTATAAACACACAAGGATAAAGCAGACCCAAGCCCCTGCCTCCTTTCCCGCGCGCTGCCCTCCAGATCGCCCGCCCGGACACCCCGCAGGGACGGAAGGAGGGACCGCGGCCGCCGGAGGGCGCCGTGCGGGGCTCCGAGGGCTCTCGGGGCTGGGATCTCCCGACGCGTGGCTCCGACTTACTTTCCCAACTTGCGGGCGTGGGACAAAGCGGTGTCAGCGGCGACGGCCTCCCCTCCCCCGAGGCTGCGGCTGGAGGGGGGGCACCCCGACTCCCCGCGCCGTCCCCCGCCCCCGGCGCCCCGCTCCGCGCGGCCTGGACTCGCCGCAGCCCGCCCCAGCCCAGAGCCCCCGCGGGGCCACCCACCTGAGGCGACGGCTCCGGCGCACCCCGCCGCGTTCCCCCGCGGCCCCGCGACGGCTCGGCGGGGCGCGCGCCCTGCGGCGGGGCATGCCGGGAAGGAGCGGGGCGGGTGCCCGAGTCCAGACGCCGGCCCGGCCGAGGGGCGCGGGAGGGGTGGCCGCGGGCCGGCGCGTCCAATCCCCCGCTGCCAGGCGCCGCCGTCCCCGCCAGGCCCCCCTGGCAGCCCCGCGGGCTGGGGAGGCGGGCGGCCGGGGCAGCTGGGAGGCAGTCACAGAGACCTCCCAGACCTTCCTCGCCCCCGCGGAGGGTCCCCTCCCACCCGCCAGCCCTGCCGTCCCGTGGGGGCTGGGGATCGCCAGCAGCTTCCACCGCGTGCCTAGTTATTGAGCGAGTCTGCGCTCCTGCAGGGTATCCGCTTAGAATCCTGGCTCTGCGGCTCACTAGCTGTGAGCAACTTACTTCACTTCCCTGTAACTTGCTTCCTCCATCTGTGAAATGGGACTCCTTGTCAGGATTCTCAAGAGTTGGTATAAGCATCACCTGACATGACGCATGCAATGCATTGGAGAGTGCCTAGCCCAGCGTAAATTGTGAATCAAAAATACCTCCTCCTAAACGTGACCCAACGGGTAGTGAGAAGAGCAAGCCTACTTCTAATGATTGTCCAGCCCGGAGTACAAATGCAGGACTCTGGCTGGTGGCCCTGCCCCTGCATTTCCCACACTGTATCTTCTATATCTTCAGGCCTCAAGATGCTCACACGGTGCAATCTGCCTCTGGGAGGATGGAGGTCAGGCCCTGGATGCAGGCTGAGGGCTGTTTGGACAGGGATTTCCGGAGTCCAGGATCATGATCCAGAAGGGACATGGGCTCTAGCTGGAAGGAAAACATGGGGTCTAAGGCAGGGTCCTGTGGTCCGGGTCTCAGGTCAGTGCTGGTGACTGGTAACAAAGGATGCAATTTAAATTCTAGGCAGCCTGATAAAGGCTCTGCAAACTGGTACCTTCTATGGCACAGAGGCTTTGTTGTTGTTGCTGTTGTTGATAATCAGATCTGTTGCCAACATTTTTTTTTTTTTTGAGACAGAGCCTCAAGCTATCTCCCTTGGTAGAGTGCTATGGCATCACAGCTCACAGCAACCTGCAACTCCTGAGCTTAAGTGATTCTCTTGCCTCAGCCTCCCAAGTAGCTGGGACTACAAGTATCCGCCACAACACCCGGTTTTTGGTTGTAGTTGTCGTCGTTTGGTAGCCCTGGCCTGGATTGGAACAGGTGAGCTCTGGTGTATGTGGCTGGTGCCTTAGCCACTTGAGCTACAGGTGCCTTGCCAACATTTTTTTAATGAGGTATTTCAATTATAATTCTAGATTCAACTTCTCTGGAAAATTTGTCTATTTCTCCAAATGTAGCCCACATTCTGCTGGTAGCAACAGTCAAGTGGAGTGGGGTGGTATCCAGCTTTCAACATATCTGCGTGCAAAGGGGTTACCTCCAAAATAGGCAAAAGATATGGTTGCCTGACTTTTCCCTAAAATCCAAATACTCTCATATATGGCCTGTGTAACAAGGGTCCCAAAACCAAGAACTGAACCCAGAGATTAGAGAAAAGGAAGCTAGCAGATCAGAAATAGTACTGACTGTGGCGAGGAAGGAAGAGGCTTGGTTCCTGGCCAATGGATGCAAGCTTGTGCCTCACCCAGGCAAGGTAGGAACATTTGTTGAGCACCTACTATGTATCAGACACTGATCAGGCATCTGACACACCTTATCTCTTTTGACCTTCTCAGCACACCCTAAATAGCTGGTATGATTATATTTGCAAGAGAGGAAATAGCCTCTGAGAGGTCAGGCACCTTGCCAGAGTTCTTTCAGCTTGTATGTGGTAAGGTAGGGAGTGGAACTCAACACTCCCTGGCACAAAGCTCAGACCACCCAAACCAGGAAACTGATAGTTCTTCCAACGACCTGGGCATTGGATCAGGACAGTTGTCATGGCTTCAGCTACAACAAATAGAGCTGCTGTCTCCCAACTTCATACTTACCCCATGCTCAAAACCACACTCGCTCTGGCCCTGGGTCTGAGCCAGGTACTGTACCTCTGCCTAGTCCCATCTTGATATCCTTCTGTTTTGCTCTTTCCTTCAGATACCAGCTGCAGGGCTGTACCTGTGTCACGTGTGGCTAGCAGGTGATTCTTTCTGCAGCACCTGGTGCTGTGTTATAGACTAGTAATAAATGAGTGGTGATAGTGCTGCTTGGCTGACAGGTACCAAAGATGCTTTTGTTCATCCTTTAGTGCAGTTGGTACCCCTTGAAAGACAGCTCAGTAGACAAAGGTAGAAGATGGGCAGAGCACACAGATGTCAGTCACCTACTTCCTCTCCATGCCCAATCCCTGTCTCTGGGCAGCAGCCCCTTCCTCCCAGACAGACAGGACCAGCCAGGTGCAACACACCCTGTCCTGTCCCAACAAGAAAAGTTGTCCCACACTAGCTATAATCTGCACTAAACCCTCTAACTCCCTCTCTGGGCTGTCAGAGGGGGACTGAAGGGAAGCCTATACCTCCACCACATAGGCCAGTGGTTCTCAATCTTCCTGATGCCACAGCCCTTTAATACAGTTCCTGTGGGTCGCGACCCACAGGTTAAGAACTGCTGATGTAGGAAGTCCCAAGTTGGAG